GGTGACAAAGAAGGCAGTAACACTACTTTTTTTTTTAGTTCTTTTAAGAAAATTTCCCTCAATATTTGTAGAGAATTATTGGAATCTATTCTTTTAATTCTAAAGTTTTGGAACAAACAGCCCCTTTGGTGGATAGGAAGAGACGCTTTCATCTTACTAGAATTTTTACAGAAAAGTTTGTAGAAGATATTCGTCCCTTCTTTTGGGCACACGGACAATCATTTATTCATGCATTTGCTCAATAGTTAGTTGAAGAGTGCCTAGATGTAGGTGCAAAGCATTCTGAAAATATCCAGAGGGGTCACGTTCAAGGCGCTCCCAGTCTGTTAAGTTCTGTTGGAGATTCTAATACAGGAAGGAAAGCAAAGCGAAAAAGCATCCGAGGAAGACAGTAAGAGGGGGTGAGGGGGCTGAGGGAAGGGAGTGGTAATTACAAGTTTATGGTGGGAAGAGTATTAATATGCCAACATGAGAGGGCTTTGTCCACAGTAAGTTCTGAAGATGCATTCATTGAGGTCGTAAGTGAAAAAAAGCAAGACGCATAACACTCTGTCATTTCCATGTGAAATGGGACAGGACTCTTAGTGGGATGGAAACCAAAGAGCCATGAACTATCACTAGTCTTACCTTTGACTTGATTGAGACCAAATATGCAAAACAATAATGATTTGTTTGCCTTGTTAACTTATTTTAATATGGAGATTTGGTTTCCACTCAAATTCTAGTTTTAATATTTACTAGCTATCTGTGCTTCAGGTTCATCATTAGTAAACTGAAGAGGTTATGTTTCTCAAAAGGCTACTATGACCATGAAATAACATGACTGTATCTTTCCTTATTAGTTGTGATCTAGCTTCAGGTTCTTCCTGTGTAAAGTGGGAACTGAAAAGATGTTGTTAGGTGTAATTGAGTAGATATCAGCTCATAGCAACCATATGCACAACAGAACGAAACTGCCCGGTCCTGGGCCAACCTCACAATTCTTGCTGCATTTGAGACCATTGTTGCTGCCACTGTTCCAATCCATCTCACTGGGGGGGGTCTTCCTCTTTTTCTCTCTGACTCTCCACTTTCCCAAACATGTTATCCTTCTCCAGTGACTGGTCCCTCTTGATAATATGTCCGAAGTATGAGAGACAAAATCTGGCCATCCTGGCTTCTAAGGAGCATTCTGGCTGAATTTCTTCCAACGCAGATCTGTTTGTTCTTTTGGCAGTCATGATACTTTTAATAGTCTCCTCCAATACCATAACTCAAATGCATCAATTCTTCTTCAGTCTTCCTTATTCACTGTCCAACTTTTGCTTGTACATGAGGTTATAGAAAATACCATGGCTTGTGTCAGACACATCTTAGTCCTCAAACTGACATCTTTGCTCTTCAACACTTTAAAAAGATCTTGTGCAGCAGATTTACTTAATGCAATGCATCCTTAGATTTCTTGATTGCTGCTTCCATGAGCATGGATGGTCGATGTGAGCAAAATGAAGTCTTTGACAACTTTCATCTTTCCTCCATTTATTATAATGTTGTTTATTGATCCAGTGGTGAAGATTTTTGTTTTCTTTATATTGAGGTGCAATCCATACCGAAGGCTGTGGTCTTTGATCTCCATCAATAAGTATTTGAAGTCCTCTTGGCTTTCAGAAAACAAGGTTGTATCATTTGCATATCACAGGTTGCTCTAATGAGTCTTCCTCCAATACTGGTACTACATTTTTCTTCATCTAATCCAGCTTCTTGGATTATTTGTTCAGCATACAGATTGAATAAGTATGGTGAAAAAACACAACCATAGCACACACCTTCCCTAATTTTAAACCATTCAGGGTTCCCTTGTTCTTTTGAACAACTGCCTCTTGTTCTACGTACAGGTTCCTCATGAACACAATTAAGTATTCTGGAATACTCATTCTTATAATGTTGTTTATAGCTTGTCACATTCCACACAACTGAAAGCCTTTGCATAGTCAATAAATCACAGGCATTTATTCTCTGTCTTTTTTTCGGTATTCTCTGCTTTTAGCCAGGATCCATCGGACATCAGCAATGATATGTCTCATTCCATATCCTGTTCTGAATCTGGCTTGAACCTTTGGAAGTTCTCTGTCAATGTATGGTTGCAGCCATTTTTGTATTACCTTTAGCAAAATTTTTACTTGCAGGAATTAAAATAACAAGTGATAATAATACTGATAATCATAAAAGTAATATTTAAAAAGTCTAGCTCCTGGCCAGTTAGATAGTCAGTGCTTGATAAATCCAAGTTATTAGTAGTAGCCCTGGTGGATTAGTGTTTAAGCATTCTGTTGCTAACTGAAAAGTCAGCAGTTCAAACCCACCTGCCACTCCCAAGGAGAAAGATGTGGCAATGTGATTCAATGAAGATTTACAGCCTTGGAGACCCTGAGGAACAGTTCTACTCTATCACAGTGCTGGTTGTTGTTGTTAAGTGCCGTCGAGTCGGTTCTGACCCATAACGACCCTGTACAGGGTTTCCAAAGCTGTAAATCTTTACGGGAGCAGAAAGTCTCATCTTTCTCCCACGGAGCGGCTGATAGTTTCGAACTGCTGACCTTGCGGTTCACAGCCCGATTCGTAAGCACTACGCTACCAGGTTGGTGGTTATGTGCCGTGGAGTCGGTTCTGACTCATAGCGACCCTGTACAGGGTTTCCAAGGCTGTAAGTCTTTACGGGAGCAGAAAGTCTCATCTTTCTCCCACGGAGCGGCTGATAGTTTCGAACTGCTGACCTTGAGGTTCGCAACCCGATTCGTAACCACTACGCTACCAGAGCTCCTTATTCTATTACAGTGGGTCACTAGAAATTAGAATAAGTCAATGGCAATGCGTAAAGTCATAACACAAACAAAGCCATTCTGACTGAGGACAACCCCATGTGTGTTGGAGGAGAACTGTGCCCCAGAGGATTCTCAGTGTCTGAGATTTTGGCCGATCTTAGATCATCTAGTCTTTCTTCTGATGAGCTGCGGGGTAGACTCGAACTTCCAGCCTTTCAGTTAGCAGCCAAATGCATTCATCGTTTGCACCCAACGTAGACTTCAGTAGTAATGGTAGAAACAGAATTCTTTTTATATTTTTTGGCAGCTGTAATTCTCATCTAAAAACATCTCCACATTATTTATTCACCTTGTTTGGCAGTAAAACTCCCTGTTGGATAAGGATTGTCATCTCTCCATTGTGCAAATGAGGAACCCAGGTTGAGGTGTGGAAGGAGGCACTCAGGGCAATCCTTTGAAAGAGGGCAGAGTCCAAGATGCAGATGCTCGGGTCGGGCATCCACCATCTCCCCGCAGTATGCCACTGGGGTTTCAGGAAGGTGCTGGGCATAACACCTAGTGTGTGTCCCTGTCAGGTGTCCACATCAAAGGGATTGGAGATTGAATCCCGATTCTGTCTTTTACTACCTGTGTGTGTTTAGGAAAGCCACTTCATTCTCTGCAAACTTCAGCTTCCTTATCTGGATAATGGGTCTGTGTTATCTACCTTAGAAGGTTGGTATGGCGGCTCCCTCATTGCTACTGAGTCAATTCCTACCCACGGTGACCTTACAGGACACAGGAAAACTGCAACATAGGATCTTCAAGGCTAACATCTTTCTGGAAGCAGACTGCCTCCTCATTCTCTCCTGGAATGGTTAGTGGATTTGAACTACTGACCTTTGGATTAGCAGCCAAGCACTTTAATCACTGTGCCAGCAAGCCCCTAGCTATTGTGTTAATGATATAAATCAAATGAGAAAATGTATGTGAAACACTTATCACTTCGAAACTCGTGAACCAACAGCTACTTCTCTTCTGAAAGTCCCGACTTTAGACATGGTCTTTCCCCCATAACCCCATTCCTCCATGGGTGTCACATGGAGAACGTTTCCAGGACTAAATAAACCTAGGTATGGTGAATGAAACAAAATAACCAAACCCACTCATTGTCACTGAGTTGATTCCAACTCTTAGTGACCCTACATAGGCTTTCTGTGTCTGTAAATCTTTACAGGAGCAGACAATCTTTCTCCTAAGGAGCAGCTAGTGGGTTTGAATAGCTGACCTTTCAGTTAGTAGTCCAGTGGTCCTTGAAACACCACCAGGACTCCTGGAAACAAAGCTACCGAGGTTCTTGTAGTAGGAATCTTCTAGACTGGCATATTTTTGTCATGTGTCTTAAGTTCATTTAACCTCAGTGTTCCTTTAGTGGGTCATATCCTGGGAATGGTGTTCAATAGGACACACACTGGGACATGTGATTACACATCTTCCTTCGATTGATGAGGAGATACAGACAAAGTGTCAGCAGGGAAGAAGAGTCAGAGCCTGCTCCTTAGACTGCCTGGCTCCCCTCTGTTAAGACCAGTTAGATATGTCTTAGCTCCTATGTTCTGCTACTTAACTCTCCTGAGCATCCTAAAAGACTCAATGTGTCAGGATGGAGTTTCTAGACAGGACAGTGGAAGGAAAGAAGGAAACCAGGAAGGCATTTAGTCTGAGAACATTTGGAGAAATTATCAAAGGGAGATTCAGAGCTCACGCTCAAGCAAGAGGCCAGTGGGTCACATCTGGGACGTCTGGCTTCTTGTTAAGACCCTGTGCGCATGAGAAAACAGAATTGAATTGTACAACTGCAACCATATTATTAAGCTAAAGAGAGTCAGAAAAGTGCTGCCTGCTAATATCACTAACTGCAGCCCAGTCACATCGCTACTTGCCGTCCGTCCATATTTTACAGAGATGAGCAATTACATGTCCTGTAATGGCAATGAAGCAATAAAATTTATGTCTTGTCATCTTTAACAAGATTAGACATAACCCTTCTCATAAATGTAATACTGCACAGAGATTTTTAAGAACATAAGTATAGTTAAGGATCCTTGAGTTTATCCCTCATAGTTAATTAAAATCCTCCCAAAGAATTGGAAAATGACAGATATAAGAACATCGAAACCTTTTCATCCACAGGAGGGTGAATGAATGATTTCCTCATACCTTGCTCAGCTTCAGCTTGGTCTGTGGCTTGCAGCACTGGTACCAGATGGATTTCAGAAGAGCAGCGAAGGGTGTGACTCCTATTCCCGCAGCAATGCACACGCTCACTGGGTAGTGGAACACGTCCGTGAGGGCGGCTCCGAATGGCCCATCCACCGCTAGCCTAGAATCACAATGTTGATATTAGAACACACTTCTCTTGAAAACAAAACCATCCTAAGTCTATGCTTTGTGTAGGATGCATGTTCTAAATGCATGCAAAGAAGTTGATGTGTCTCAGGAATGTCGTATGGGGAGAGCCTGGGCTTAGCGTGTAGCCCCAGAGTCTGGCCTCATGGTCAGGCTCCAGTCATGGAAAGACAGATGCAGACTTCTCTGTGGCAGTTCATGCTTCCTCCATGTGATATGTGTTTCTTTTGGCTCTTAGACACCTGCTTTATGTCCAAGCGTTTTGCCTGTAAGACCAGTTCCTATTGAGTTGATTTTGACTCATGGCAACTCTATGGATGTCAGAGTAGAACTGTGCCACGTGGGGTTTTCAATGGCTGATTGTTTTGGTAGCAGGCCACCAGACCTGTTTTCTGAGTTGCCTTGGCAGGATTCACATCCCTAACCTTGTAGGTAGCAGCCGAGCCTGTTAACCATTTGCATCACATAAGGATTCCCTCAAACATCATGAAGTCTAGGGAAAGTGAGGTTTCCTCTCAACTTCCATCAGAGGGAGAAGAAGAAGTGTCAAGGTGGCTTCAAAGTGTCACCTTTCCATCATAATGCCATCCTCCACTGTTTTCATTGGTTTGGTTATACTCCTTAGTGTGTGTGTTGATGCAAGCTTAGTTTACTGGAAGCCATTCATTTGGAATATGTAAAATTTTGAAATAATTTAAATTATGTCAACTCAAAATCTGTGAGAATTAGGTGAGGGTTTTCTTTTTGCTGATCACATTTTTCTTTACAAGGATAAAACATAATCATAGAATAAATAAGGTTTCCCTTAACATGGCTCTGCATGGATTGACCTCTGGATTCTTTTCCATCTCTCACTACCAGATTCATTCAACTGGTTTCTCTTTCAATTCTTTAAACATGACGCCTGTAGGGCCTTTGCACATGATGACCATTTCATTAGAATACTTTGGGATATTTGAACTTTTTCCCTGGCTTGGTTAATAAGTTACACTACCATTAGGTCTTACTCCAATCATTATTTCTCTGGGGATGTGTTCTTGGAGTCCTTGTTGTTGTCTGCCTTAATGTAGGTTCTGACTCATAGCAAACTGTTTAGGGTTTGAACTACTGGCCTTGCAGTCAGTAGGTTTCAATCAATTTCCTTTTATCTTACCATGTGCTTCTCCTCTGTAGTCCTTATCACAGTTGTAATTTTACAGCTTTTTTCTTTGTGTATGAGTTGATTTATATCTGTCCTTATCACTAAACTATAGGACAACCATGCCTATCTCTGCTCAGTACATTACTGTTCCAATGTCTTGCACACTCTCTGGCATGGGCTTTTTGTCCAAAAACAATTTTTTGAATACATTATAAAGGGAATGGTTAGAATATTTCAGTCAGCAGAATGTATTAAATAACCTCAGCTATTCCAAAAGCACACATTTACATAGGAACAAAGATATGCTAATTAAAAGGTTTTTAAGTTATTCACAACCATTCCCTAAGGGGTGCTGTTGAAGGCATATGAGGTTGGCCCAGTTGGGCTTACTATGTGTTCATGAAAGTTCAATTGGGTTTATTTAAAAATATTCTGTATTCCAGACACCCTAATAATTCAAATGAACTCTCCTCAAGTTAATCTTCATTAATAAGGCTGTATTACATATTGATATATGGAAATGGAAGAATTAAAATAAAAGGTCATTACCTAGAGCTGGTTAGTACCTCAGCTCACTGTAGATTATTTTATAAATAATTAGATAAAGAGAATTGAGAGAAAAAATGAAATTGTCCATGGATTAAAATGTCTCATCGTTAATGGTTTTTTATAATGAGTGGTATTTGGGATTTACTTAGCACAAGTGATATCAATTAAAATGAAAGAATTGTGTTCTATAATCCACAGAAATACATAATACATGAGTTGGTCTGTACTTAGAATTGAGAATGAAAGTTGGAAGTGACAGTAGAAAATATATTTAGACCAACCTCCCTGCTCATACAGTAATGCCCGAGGTGCTAAAATATCTCACTTTAAAAATATTTCAGCAGTGGTAGAATTCTCGCTGCCCATTACAGCCTCGGGGACCCTATACAAAATCGTGATGAGTTGGAATCCACTCAGTGGCAGTGGATTTGTCCTTTTCATGCAGTGCAATTTTTTGTGGTGGAGTCCTGGTGTGGCGCTGTGGGTTAATGCGCCAGACTACAAAGCCGTTTGAACTGCAAGGTCAGTGGTTCAAGCTCACCAGCTGCTCCTCGGAAACCCTATGCAGGGTCTCTATGGGTCAGAGTCGACTTGATGGCACTTACCAACGACAACATTTTTTATGGTGGACCCAGCTTTGAATCCTGGCCAACACACACTTTCATCTGTGACTGGAGGCCTACATGGCACTATGTAGGTTTTGGTGGAGCTTCCAGACTCAGAGGGTCTAGGAAGAAAAGTCTGGCAATCTACTTCCAAAAAAATCAGCCAAGGATCACAATGGCTCCATTTACAATTGATGCTGGAGAATGGCGCAGGACCAGGGAATGGAGTAGGCATGAGTCAGGGTCCTTGGATGGCAGCTAACAATAGACTCTACATTATATGGCAATGTATTCCAACCTTGGTAAGTGCCAGAGCTCTTTTCGGACTTTCTCCTCTGCTCCGTAGGCCTCAAATAAAGCTCTGGTCCAGTCTCCTGCTGCCCGGATGTGCACACTGAAGAAGTCCTCCTCGGGAGCTGAGGTGAGGGTAAAGGGATGCCACTCTAATGCAGATAATGACGGGCACTGTAAGAAGATGTACTGCCCCGGGGCCATTTTGAAGCGCTGCTTTTTCATGTGAATCTCCAGGACTTGAGAGGGATGACTTACCACCTAGATTAGAACAAGAGAATTGAAGGGCGCTCTTCCTCATGTTCAATAATGCCAAAAATAGTCTTCATTTTGTCAAAGGGTTTTAAAATTTAAAACCAGATTTTTTTTTTGACATTTGTGAAGTCAGTCAATCACGAATGCACAGATATTGTCTGAGAACACTACTGTAAAAAGTCAAGAAAAGGTTTAGAGAAAGAATCATGCTTTGAAAGTTACCAGCGGGGAGGGCAAGGGAAGGCTTTTGTTGTTAAGAGCAGAGTTGGTTTTGACTCATCGTGATCCTGTATAGGGTTTCCCTGGAACACCTGGTTGATTTGAATCTATAACCTGTTAGTTATCAGTTCAGTGCTTATCCTACAGCACCACACCAGGATCAGAGGGTAGGCTTATACTAACTTGCATGAAGGGAAAAGCAATATACAATAAGGGGAGGTTGACACTGAGAGAGCAAGCCAAAGGAAGACACTGGGAGAAGCATATGGGTTAAATCAGTTTTTGTTTTGTTTTGATTTTAAGATCTAATTTACAGACAATGAAGTGAAACATAACTGTGAATACAGTTCAGGGCTGGGCAGTGTTTGCACATACAAAATCTAGGAGTCGGAACTGGCTCAACAACACCTAACAACAACAATTATGGGCATATTTGTTATTAGCTTCTAATAACATCACTTTACCCTCACGGTCAGGTCTGGGTTTTCAGGTCTAGTAAGGATGAAGTTCTCCTGCCAGCTGCTAAGGCTGGAATGTGGGTAGCAGTATCCAGCGGCAATGTGGTGCCCAGACTTTTTATAGTCCTGTGAACCAAGAGAGCCTGAACTTGCACAAAGAGCCACTCAATTAGACTTCAGGTTATTAAAATAGTCACTGTGTTATCTGCAGGCTCTTAAAATCTAGGTACAGCTTGGTACTGTTTTCAATATTGCCAGTTCTATTTCTAATCCCTAGTTGTTATGCTGTTGTTGTTGTTGTTGTTGCTAAGTGCCGCCAGTTGATTCTGACTCATAGCGTCCCTGTGTAGGGAGTCCTGGGGTGGCGCTGTGGGTTAGTGCACTGGACCGCAAGATCGGTGGTTGAAGCTCACCAGTCGCTCCTCAGAAACCCTATGCAGGGTCACTGTGGGTTGGAACCGACTCAATGGTACTTAACAACATGGGGTTTCCAAGGAGTGGCTGATGGATTTGAACCACCAAACTTCTGGTTAGCAGTCCAGTGCTTATCCAACAGCCCTGTTGACATGCCTTATTTTTATTCCTACTCAGTGGAAAACAATCTTCAAACTCTGAAATATTTGTCTTGTTTTGCTTCAGTCAAGACTGAGCTCATTACGGGGAGTCCAGTCCCCTGACGAGTTTGAATTTTCCATCTAACATCACACAAAAGCTCTTGCAGATTTTTATAGGAGCTTTATAATGTGCTGCTTTTTAGAGGGAAAGAATACATTTCCCTTCATAGACCTCATCTTATTTTCTAGAAAATTTCTTCAGGCTGCTTTTGTGGCAGGGGTCTAAGGGAACAAAATCTAGTTATATCTAGATGCTGTGGAGGTATTTCTCCATCCAGAGGAGAATTTCACAGCCTTTGAGTCATTTATTCTAAGCCTTCCATCTCCCTACTGATATTTGTTTCGATTCCGCTATTAAATTATCTCCTTAGTAACGGCTCTAGGAGGTTTCTAGAAGTTTTACAGCCTGGCTTTTGGTATAGCCTGACACTCTTTGGTGCTTAACTTAAAAACAGCAACACGAAACTGGCTTACAACAGAAATATGAGGCAATTTCTTTACACTTGCTTTCATGAAAACAGTTAAGGAGATAGAATATTCTGGTAAAATTACATTAACAAAGTGGCATTGGTTTTGTTAGCAGAAAATGTCTTCATAAACACTTTAAAAAAAATTGAATGCAGTGTATTTGTTACTTGTTCAGTCTTCTAGACAGATACTCTGGGTCTATCCTTTCGTAGTATTGTATTAGGCAAATCTACAAGACCTTACAAAGAGTTTGAGTCCAGAGATATCAGTTTGAGGACTATGGTGCACCTGATTCAATCCATGGTATTTTCAGTAGCCTCATATGCATGTAAAAGTTAGACAATGAATAGGGAAGACCATAGAAAAATTGATGCATTTGAGTTATGGTGCTGAAGGAAAATATTAAAAGTACCTTGCACTGTCAGGAAACCAAACAAATATGTGTTGGAAGAAGTATAGCCAGAATGCTCCTTAGAAACCAAAATGGCTAGACTTTGTCATTCATACTTTGGACATATTGTCAGGAGGACCAGTCCCTGGATAAGAACATCGTGCTTGGTAAAGTAGAGGGTCAGTGACTAAGAGGAAGACCCTCAATGAGGTTGACTGACACAAGGGAAGCAGCAATGGGCTCAAAGATTATGATTGTGAGGATGACCAGGACAGTTTTGAGTTTAGTTCTGTTGTATGTAGTGTCACTATGAATTGGAACCAACTGGATGGCGCCTAGCAACAACAGCATCCTTTCATATCTTCCTCCAATAGGAGGTAAGGATTGGAGGGCTGAGTGAATAGATAGCAAGACTGGAAAATGCTACCAAGGACTATTCCACTCACTAGTGCCTAGCAGCATCTTTGCCTAACTTCTCCATTTTGAAGCTCGCAGGGACCCTCACTCCCTCTGTTCCTGAGGGAGGTATTATTATTCTTGGCTCAGTAGTCTTTCTGTGAATATCTGTGTTTGATAATGTATGTATATAATTTGTATATTTGCAATATCCATATCTTTATGTGTTGAGGAAAGCAATTATACCTCTAGTTACTATGACTTAGATAAGGCATGGTGTTAAGTGCCATTGAGTCAGTTCTAACTCGTAGTGGCCATCTATTGGGTTTCCCAGGAGCAGTTGGTGGTCTGAAGTCTAGGCTGATCCTACAGTGCCAAACCACTTTTCCCCAACCCCCTTTTCCCATAGAGGGAAGCTGAGGTAAAGAGAAGTCCAGATAATCTTATTTCACAAGCCTATATCAGACAGTCTGAAGGAAAATTTACTGTTGCCATTAAGTGCCGTCAAGTTGGTTCCAACTCATACCAACCCTGTGTAGGGTTTCTGAGGAGCAGCTGGTGAATTTGAACTGCTGACCTTGCAGTTCAAACCTACCATGTGGTTCATTGCTTGTACTACAGTGCCATTCCAGGAAAATCAGTCACACTAAAAAGATGCCCAGGATACAAGCAATTATTAGAATAGAGGATGAGCCTCTAAATTATACACAGTTCTGTAATAAAAATGGCAAATTAAAAACTTGGGCTAATAAAAAATTTTCATCTACATGCAGGTTTTTATTCACACATAAAACTTCATGCATACCTTGGTAATGACAACTTCTTCTTGAAATCTCCAGATCCTAATTATTCTCTCACATGCATACAAGACCACAGGGCCTAAAACCCATTTCCAAGTCTGTGGAGATCAGCAGAGGGGGAGGAAAAGGAAATGAAAATGGAATCCAAATACTTTCAATTTTAACCAAATCAATATACAACCTGATGGGGTTTAGATACTGTCCTTTAATGTTGGCCAGTTATCCACAGATGTCTCCTTGTATTAAATACTATAACATTCCATTATTTCTTGAAGCCCACAAGCTTATTTAAGAGATTAGACTCTTCTGTATTGGTTTTTATGCTTACTTGATCAATGATGCCTTTATCTAATTAGAAATAATTGGATTTGCAAAGAAATAAGAAAGCAGATTGATGTTTATGTTACATGTGATAGGGTCATAAATGCCTCCAAACTCAGCCAAAGTCAAAGACTTACAAAAGTACATTACTGAGTCAACATAGGGCTTGGAAAATTAAATTAAAAAACAAACAAACAGTCGAATAGTCAATTTTTTGTGCCAACAATGCATTACAACTTGGAGGTTTGTACAAATAAATATGTACACATGTACACACACATACGCTTACTTACACACACCATGCCTTTAAGTTAGTCTATCCCGGTTCAGTCCCCTGCTGAGAATTTATGATTTTTACCCCAGACATATTGAATCAGAATCTATAGTTTAACTAGATCTCCAGGTAACACTTATGTGCACATTGGTATGTGGAAGAATCTCTCTCAATCTCACATGTACACACTCACACTAACAACATAACCTGGGATAAAACAGAGTGAATTTTAAGTACCATAAATCTAAGTTTATAGATTCAAAACTAATGCCTCAACAATGTTTCTGAAGGACACTGGCAGTGAAAATGGCCTTTCATAATAAATCAGATGCGTAGGTTAACTTTTTATGATTACGTTGTTGTTGGTAAGTGTTCTTGAGTTGAATCTGACTCATAGCATCTGGAATAACAGGGTTTCCAAGGAGTAGCTGATGGTTTTGAACTTCTGAGCTTGTGGTTTGTAGTTCAGTGCTTATCCTACAGCCCCATAACAGGAGTCACTCAGCATTATTGATGATGAGTTTACCAAGCAGGCCATTCTTGTGCCACTTGTTATAGTATAAGTTGTCTTTCCTTGTGGTTGTTTGTTGTTATATACCGTGGA